CATTTTCTAAACACTTCTTTTCCTGCCACCTCAGTCCCTTTCTACCCTGTGCACTGGTAGTTGATGGCCTATAATGCTAGCTACCAGAAGTCTGAGTTCTTTGAATTGTGGTTTGAAGCCAGACTAGGCAGAGACTCTTATCTCCAGTTAACCAGTGAAAAGTCATAGAAGTGGAAGTGTGGCCCAAATGGTAAAGTGACAGCTGTGAGATTGAAAGGCCTTGAGTCCAAGTCCCCTCAAAACAAAGTTTGCTTTGTTTCTCCCGGTTATGCTTTCCCTCCATAACCCTAACTCCATAATAAGCAATTATGTGGTTACTCGTGTCCTTTTTGGTTATTAGCTTATGTTATTACGGAGGGTTCATTGTTGCATTTCCACACATGTTCACAATGCATTCCAGTCCATCTCAGCCCCTCCATTACTTTCCCTTCTCTGCTTCCCCCTTTCCCAAAACAATTTCAACAAGTTTCACTGTTCTATTGTCATAATTGCAAACAATCTATTTCAACAGTGTTCAATCTCCCTATTGGCTCAACCTTCTCCTCCTAGTAACCCCCACAAAAAGCTCCCCCCCCCCAGCCTCCATTGATCAATAGCTTTCATTGAAGTTCTCTATGTTGGTTTCATATACATACGTACATACATACATATATATTCACTGTCTCACAAAATCACTATCATTCTTTTTCCCTTCCTCCTTTCTCTTCTCCTCCTAAGTGTACTTTTCTAGGTTCCAGCTTTCCATAATAAAGGCCCTATAAGACTGGAGAACGTGTATAGTTTCACTCTTTTCTGTGTTCCTAGAGCTTAGGTGTCCAGTTCCTAAGAGGCTCTTGTAAAACAACAGTTGGATGAGTAAATGGAAGAGCTAGCTCCTCACTGTAAGGTCTGCACAGGGACACCTCCCTACTTCTTGGCTAAGTATCTGCCCAGTATCTGTTACCTAGGTAACTGGCAGACCTGGAAGCAGTCACCTGCTAGGTCACATCCTGGGCCACCTCTGGTCACATGTCTCCCATTTAACCTTAGGAGGGTCCCAGACTCTGAGAGGTCACATCCAGATCCAGTGTGGTCACACCTTTCCCCCACCTGGCCATACCTCTTCCTGTCCCTGGCCTAGATAAGTCCTGGCCCAGGGTGGTTCACCCCCTTTTCCTTTCCAGCCATGCCTCTCCACCATGCATGGTGGGAGCAGCAGTTCGGTCAATAAACTTCTCCTGCCTGAATAGCACGTGGTGTTTTCTTCATCAGCTACCTATGAAACCTACCTATTTAGTATACTTTTCACTCACTTCCCCCACCCTCTGCTGGGCCTCTGCCCTCTGAAGCATATGACCCCTCATGGGGCAGAAGTGGGAAGACTTAGCCTCAGGCACCCTGGCTTTGCAGGGAGTGGAGGTTCACTTGCCATAGAGGCCTCCAAGCGTGACCACAGACTGTCAGGGCAGACATTGACAGAGGGAGAGGCTGCTTCAAGCTATGCAGGAAGCTCAGCTGGGAAATCACTGAGTGCCAATGGGTGGAGAGGGTGGTAAGCCTTGTTGAATGACGTAGTGAAACAGGAAGTAGGAGAGGTCATGACTTGTGTGTGTGTACTTGTGTGACTTGGTAGAGGGGCTTGAACTTAGGACCTGGATACTGTTCCTTAGTTGGTTTTTGTTGTTGTTGTTGGTCCGGTCGTGGGGCCTGAACTCTGGACCTGGGCGCTGTCCCTCAGCTCTTCAGCTCAAGGCTAGTGCTCTACCACTTGAGCCACAGCGCCACTTCCAGCTTTTTTCTTTTGCTTATGTGGTGCTGAGGAATCGAACCCAGGGCCTCAGGCATGCAAGGCAAGCGCTCTACCACTGAGCCACTTCCCAGCCCCTTGTTTGTTTGTTTTTTTTTTTAATTTCAGGTTAGCATTCTACCACTTGAGCCACAGCTCTACTTCCAGCTTTTATTTATTTATTTTTTTGGTCTGGTTGGGGGCCTGAACTGTGGGCCTGGGCGCTGTCCCTCAGCTCTTCAGCTCAAGGCTAGCGCTCTACCACTTGAGCCACAGCACCACTTCTGGCCTTTTCTGTTTATGTGGTACTGAGGAATTGAACCCAGGGCTTCTTGCATGCTGGCACTCTACCACTAAGCCACATTCCCAGCCCTCTTGTTTGATTTTATTTTATGTTTTTGTGTGCGCAGGAAGGGATCACGGCTTTACACATGCTTTTAACACTGAGCTGCCCCCCTCCCCCACTTCCAGGCCCTTTGCTTTTCCCATAAACTTATGTTTTGAAGTATCTTCCTAGAAAAATTGTACAGGAACAGATCAGAAAAGTATAACCACCTGTTTTACTCTTTGAGATAAGTTCTCACTATTTGTTGGACTTCAACTCTTTTGCTCCCTCCTCTTGAAATACAAATGACTAATAGATAACCTAAAGTAATGTCCAACATTCCTAGTCATAAAAGAAATGAAAATTAGCCAGGTGCTGATCACTAAATTCCATTTTTAAACCAACCAGCAAAAAGCAGATCTGGAGGTATAGATCAAGTGGTAGAGCACCAGCTGAGCAAGTATGAGGCTCTCATTTCAAACACAAGTTCCATCAACCCCCCCTGCATAAAGCAAACAAAACCATATAATAAGATTCTATCTTATTGCAATCAGAATGGCTGTCATCAAGAAACAATGGCAGGGGTTGGGAAGTTGGCTCAGTGGTAGAGTGCTTACCTTGCATGCCTGAGGCCCTGGGTTCGATTCCTCAGCACCACATAAGCAAAAAGAAAAAAGCCGGAAGTGGCGCTGTGGCCCAAGTAGTAGAGCACTAGTCTTGAGCTGAAGAACTGAGGGACAGTGCCCAGGCCCAGAGTTCAGGCCCCACGACCGGACCCAAAAAAAAAAAAAAAAAAGAAACAATGGCAGCCAGGCGCCGGTGGCTCACACCTGTAATCCTAGCTACTCAGGAGGCTGAGATCTGAGAATCACGGTTCAAAGCCAGCCCAGGCAGGAAAGTCTGTGAGACTCTTATCTGTAATAAACCACTAGAAAACTAGAAGTGGCGCTGTAGCTCAAGCGGTAGAGCGCTCGCCTTGAGCTGAAGAGCTGAGGGACAGTGCCCAGGCCCAGAGTTCAAGCCCCTAGACTGACAAAAATAAGAAAAAAAGAAAGAAAACAATGGCAGCAAATGCTGGCAAGGATGAGGAAGGGGGTTAGAAACCCTTATTCACTGTGGTGAGAATGTAAACTAGTAGCACCACTATGGAAATCAGTGTAGAAGTTCTCAAAAACAAGCAAGCAAACAAAAACCCCTAAAAGCAGACCTACTAGTGACCCTTCCAAACCACTTGTTGACATATTTCTGAAGGAAAATAAACCAATATACCCTGTTTATTGTAATTCTGTTCACAGTACCCAACTGTGGAATCAGCTGAGGTGTCTAAAACCAATGGATGACAGCCGGGCGCTGGTGGCTCACACCTGTAATCCTAGCTACTCAGGAGGCTGAGATCTGAGGATCACGGTTCAAAGCCAGCCCAGGCAGGAAAGACTGTGAGACTCCTATCTCCAATAAACCACCAGAAAACCGGAAGTGGCGCTGTAGCTCAAGTGGTAGAGCGCTTGCCTTGAGCTGAAGAGCTGAAGGACAGTGCCCAGGCCCAGAGTTCAAGCCCCAGGACCGACAAAAAAAAAAAAAAAACAAACCAATTGATGGATTAAGGATATATACATATATGTACACACATGCATACTGTGAAATATTATTTAGTCAAGAAAAAATAAAGCCAATGCTGGTGGCTCATGCTTGTAATCCTAGCTACTCAGGAAACTGAAATCTGAGGATCATAGTTTGAAGCCAGCCCAGGCAGAAAAGTCTAAAAGCCTCTTATCTCCAATTAGCCATCAAAAAAGCTGGAATTAGAGCTGTGCCTCAAGTGCCATCAGCCTTGAGTGAAAAAGCTAAAAGACAGTGTCAAGATTCTGCCCAATACCAGCACCAAAACACAAAAACAAAGGCTCAGAGGGCTGGGAATGTGACTTAGTGGTAGAGTGTTTTCCTAGCACGCATGAAGCCCTGGCTTTGATTCCTTGGTACCACATAAACAGAAAAGGCCAGAAGTGGTGCTGTGGTTCTCAAGTGGTAGAGTGCTAGCCTTGAGCAAAAAAAGCTCAGGGACAGTGCCCAGGCCCTGAGTTCAAGCCCCAGGACTGGCAAAAAAAAAAAGGTTCAGAGAAGTTAATGAAATTGTCTGAGGTTATACAAGTCACAAATGGCAGAGCCAGGTTTTGAACATCTCTTCTTCCTACACCTGTGCTCATTTCGCTGGCAATGCTATTGTGGTACAGCAGAACCAGCAAGCCAGTTGGAAACAGCTGCTGTGTGAATTGGGTGGCACCCAGGGCAGGTCTAGTGCAGTGGCTGAGGAAGGAGGGGAATTTGAGGGAGATCATGATAGAATTTGGGGAGACTTGGTGTCGACCTAAGTGTAGAGGCTAAGGGGAAGGTGGCAGGATGCAAGGGCATGAGGGACATGTGGGGACTGGAGAAAGGACAGTACACTGGGTGTTGACAGGCAGGAAGGAGACTTCTTGCCCAGAGACCCAGTCAGGAGCCAGGCTAGCCTGTGGGTGTTGATAAACTCATTTGGAACCAGGTAGGAGGCCAAAGCCAGGTGTAGGGCACCCATAGGTTGAGGCTAGAGGAGAGTAGGGACAATTGGAAGAGAACACTGTGTGGACACAGGAACAGATGGAATTGCTCCCCAGAGTCCAGTGCACTTGAGAGACCATGAGGAGGAGATGTAGACTCCGGGGAGCAGGGGCTGGAGACATGGAAGGGGAGGTAATGCTGACACACTCAGCACAGATCAAGAGGTGCTGGTCAGAGGATGAGGAGGCAACTTTCTCCTCCCAGCCATGGAGTGTGAGTTCACTGCACTTCACACTGCATTTCAGGCAAGACTGAACTTGATGCTTAGTTATCCCTGCCCAATGAGCCAGAGACAGTTGTTTTTTTTTTTAACCTTTTAATAAAATTAACAAATAAATATTCTAAACCATGGAGGCTACAGGGACAAAGAGTAGAAATTAAAGACAGTCTTCTTACTCAGAACCTCCCTGGAGGGAAGAAGAGACTGTAGGCTGGTGTGGAGCTAGACTGCTGGCCTGGGGGAGGGGAGTGATGGCGGAAGGGGTGTGGTCTGGGCTCCTGCAACCTGCCCCTCTCAGTGTGGCAAAAGAAAAGGAGGGGTTGGTCAAAGAACAAAAGCCCCTACAAGAGGTATCCCAGTGGCCCACAGGAGTGAAGGGGTAAAGGGAAAGCTAAGCTATAAGATGGGTGTGGAAGGGAGAGTGGTGGCTATACGGGGACTCTGAAGCAGTGGGTTGGTGGGGTGGGGGAGAGATGGGCTTCAGGTGGCTCTTGGTCCATGGCTGCTCACTCTCGGACATAGACCCTGGTGCACACAACGTCGTTTGCCGTCATGGTCTGGAAGGACGGAAGTAGTTGTTAGCCTGCTAGGCACATGGACTTGAGGGAGACATGGCTCTTGACTTCAGGGGAGAAGAGTTGCATGGAGGCATACAGCTTGGACTCCAAGTCCAAACAGGAAGGAACTGGGCTTTGTGGTAGAGTGCTTGCCTAGCATGCATGAAGCCCTGGTACCTCAGTACCACATAAACAGGAAAAGCCAGAAGTGGCACTGTAGTTCAAGTGGTAGAGTGCCAACCTTGAGGAAATGAAGCTCAGGGACAGTGCTCAGGCCCTGAGTTCAAGCTCCAGGACTGGCAAAAAAAAAAAAAAAAACAACCAAAAAACAAAAAACCCAAACCAAAACAAACAAACAACAACAAAAAGCAACAAAAACAAGAAGAAACTGGTCCAAGAATGTCCAAGTATCATTGGTAGGAGACAGCAATCAAGAAGCCCACTCTTTTGGCCGGGCCAAGGATGTCTCCCAGTGTGTGTCTGAACCACACAAAAAGGACCCCATTTCTTTTCTTTTTTTGTATTTTTAGTGTTACTAGGGATTGAACTCAGGGCTTTGCATTTACTAGGCTAATGTTCTCCCAATGGAGCCAGTCCTTACAGTTTTCAGATAGGGGCTCATGCTTTTCTCTGGGATAGCCTCAGACCTCAATCCTCTTATCTCCATTCTCCCCTCCCCCCAGTCCTGGGGCTTGAACTCAGGGTCTAGGCACTGTCCCTGAGCTTCTTTTGCTCAAGGCTAGCACTCTACCACTTGAGCCAGTGTGCCACTGCTGGCTTTCTTGTTTATGTAGTACTGAGGACTCGAACCCAGGGCTTCATGCATGCTAGGCAAGCACTCTACCACTAAGCCACATTCCCAGCCCAGGGACACCATTTCTAATTCACACTGTATGGGATATGGATGGCTTAGTCTTATCTAGTTGGCTGATCAGGGGGAAGGGAAGACCAGCCATGGCTGCTCTTGAGTCTCCTGCACCCTGGATCCTCCCAGATAAACAGCAAAGGTAGCAGAGATTTGCTAGTGGCTAGGAATAGGTAGGACTCACCAGGATCAGCTCTCCATCATTGGTCAGTTCTCTGGTCCAGGAGGTCTTGGGGCCCTCTCCCTTCAGAAGCCTCTGCTCACAGACCATTTTGTTCTCACTCTCCCATTTCACCAGGCTCTATAAGGGAGAGGGGGCCAGGTGAGCTGAAACCATCATGGAGGCCAAGCAAATGAGTGGGATAAGGAACAGACAGGCGCTATTTCTCAGGGACTTCATAGGACATAGAGAAAATCATGTAGGAAAGCTGGATGAACAGTGGCATGTGGGAGGCAGGGTAGTAGATGTTAGGACCTGGAGGGAAGCTTCCTGGCACTCACCTTGCAGGGTCTCCCATCCACAGTCTGCTCCTCAAACTCCTCCCCAATCTTGAAGTTAATCTCTGTGGTACGCACAGCAGTAGAGGTTTTGATGTAGAAAGTGTCCCCTTCCTGCTTGATCTCCACTGCTGGCTTGGATGCTGCAGCCACGGCGATCTTCCTCAACATGATGTTCACCCCTATGGGGAAAGGAGGGGACACCTGTCTCACACTCTGCCTATGAGATAGCTTGAATAGGCCTACCTGTGCTGCCATTGGCAGCAGCAAAGAACCTAGAATGAGATACAGGTGTGAAAGGTTTAGGGAGGCGGGGCACAGAGTCCTGTCCCCTGGAAGTTCTGTTCCTGACTATGGTCCCGCCTCTGATGAATCATCAGATGGCTAGGGTTTAAGCCCAGCTCCTCACCCCCAGAATTCTCAGGGACATCCCCCATCCCCCTACCCAACAAAGTTCTGCTTCAGGCTCATCATGGCTCCTCTTACCTCAGTTTAGGCTTTCCTCTATCCTGGCTCGAGAAGTTTAATCACTAGGTCTTTCCTTATGCCCATGTGCAGGGCACACCTGGAAAGTAGAGGCTAATTCCTTCTCTGCCCTAGCTCTCTGGTGCTAGGCAGGTGTTCATTTCCCAATCTCCACCCATCCCCTCAAGCAAGGAGCAGGATTCTCAACAGAAAGAGATAAGTAGTTGTTTCTTTCTCTCTCTCTCTTTTTTTTTTTATTTTTGTTGGTCTTGGGGCTTGAACTCTGGGCCTCCGTACTATCCTTCAGCCCTTCAGCTCAAGGCGAGTGCTCTACTACTTGAGCCACACCGCCACTTCCAGTTTTTAGTGGTTTATTGGAGATAAGAGTCTCATAGACTTTCTCGCTTGGGCTGGCTTTGAACCGAGATCCTCAAATCTCAGCCTCCTGAATAGCTAGGATTATAGGCGTGAGCCACCAACGCCTGGCAAGTAGTTGTTTCTGTAGAATAGCAAGGAGCCTGGGGAAGCCAGAGGCCCTGGAGTCAAATCCAGTAGGCTGTGATTTCCTCCTGTCCTAAGCCCCCTTCCAGAGTGGATGATCTTGGGCAAATGGCATAAACTCTCCGAGCCTCAGAGGTACAGGTACAACAGAAACACTTCAAACTTACTGAATGAAATATGTATTTAGAACCTAGAATTCAGTGCCTGGCACACCTTTAAATTTTCAGAAAATTAGTAACTATTGTCATTGTTGATACTATTTTCACTACTTAAAAAGAGAAAAAGAGCTGGGCACAGACAGCTCATGCCTGTAATCCTAGCTACTCAGGAGGCTGAGATCTGAGGATCGTGGTTCAAAGCCAGCCCAGTCAGGAAAGTCTGTGAGATTCTTTTTTTTTTTTTTTTTTTTTTGGGGGGGGGGCCTGGTAGTGGGGCCTGAACTCTGGGCCTGGGCGCTGTCCCTCAGCTCTTCAGCTCAAGGCTAGCGCTCCACCACTTGAGCCACAGTGCTACTTCTGGCTTTTTTCTTTTTTCTTATGTGGTGCTGAGGAATCAAACCCAGGGCCTCATGCATGCAAAGCAAGCGCTCTACTACTGAGCCACCTTCCCAGCCCCTGTGAGATTCTTATATCCAACTAATCATCAGAAAACCAGAAGTGGCACTGTGGCACAAGTGATAAGAGTGCTAGCCTTGAGCTGAAGAGCTCAGGGAGAGTGACCAGAGTTCAAGCCCCATGACTGACCAAAACAAAAGAGAAAGAGAGAGAGAGAGAGAGAGAGAGAGAGAGCTGGGAATGTGGCTTAGTGGTAGAGTGCTTGCGTAGCATGCATGAAGCCCTGGGTTCGGTTCTCTCAGTACCACATAAACAGAAAAGGCTGGAAGTGGTGCTGTGGTTAAGTGGTAGAGTGCTAACCTTGAGCAAAAGAAGCTCAGGGACAGTGCCCAGATCCCGAGTTCAAGCCCCAGGGCTGCCCCCACCCCCCCAAAAAAAAAAGTGAGAAAGAGCCGGCAGCTGAGATCTGAGGATTGCGGTTTGAAGCCAGCCTGAGCATAAAAGTCTGTTAAGACTTTTTTTTTGTCAGTCATGGAGCTTGAGTTTAGGGCCTGGGCACTGTCCCTGAGCTCTTTTGCTCAGTGCTAGCATTCTATACTTTAAAGCCACAACTCCACTCTGGTTTTTGAGTGGTTAGCAGGAGATAAAAGTCTCACGGGGACTTTTCTGCCTGGGCTGACTTTGAACCGCGATCCTTAGATCTCAGCCTCCTGAGTAGCTAGGATTACAGGCGTGAGCACCAGTGCAGGGCTGTGAGACTCATCTACAAGTGACTACTCCAAAACCAACTCAAAGTGGAACAGTGCCCAGGCCCTGAGTTCAAGCTCCATGACCACTACCGCCACCAACAAAAGTGAAAAAGAAAGAAAAAGTTCACACTATGGCTCACCAGCCCATCTAGAAGGTTCTTATGCCCCTCTCCTTCCTTCCTTCCTTCCTTCCTTCCTTCCCTCTCTCTCTCTGAGATTTTTCTAAGTAGGGCTAGCTTTACATACATCAGGTAATAAGAACATTTCCTTCCTTTTGCATCGTATAATCCGTTCCCTTATTCTCTCTTATTCCCTCCCTCTCATCTTGCCCACGAGTTGCGTGTTCCACTCTCATCAGTGTCCAGTGCAGCCAGTGGGCTCCGCTGCTGCACGCTTTCACCCATTTTCCACTGATTCTGTGCCCTCTCCCCACCCCTCTCTTTTCAAGGGAACTCTGTCCTGCCCTGAGAAGAGAGAAGGAACAGCCACTTCAATCAGACTCTGTGGCTTCAGTCTCTGGATAACCCCCATGCCTTTTCCCAGCTTAGACCCCTTCTTTGCTTCCAGTTATGAAGAGTAGGCAAAAGGATTGGCATCTCTCTGCCAGGAAAAGCAAAAGGAAGATCTTCTGGCCAGCCAGGTTGTCTATGCCCCACCTCCCCAACCCTGGTACAATAAGAGAAGGGAGGAGGGTTGAGCTGGCTAGCCTCCTGGACCTCCTGCAGGTCTGGGTTCCTAGAGGAACAAACCCTCATTTCCCTCAGCACCCAAGCAGAATCACCCTATTCCACACAGAAGGGAAAGGGAAGAAGTCTTGCCACTCAGGAGCCCTGGAATCCCAGTTCTAGGCTGCTGATCTAAGTCCAGGGAGAAATACCTGAGAGCTCCAAGCCCATTGGATTTGTTAGGAGACATACTTCACCCTATCTTCTTGGATAAAGAAGCCACTTCACTCTGCCTACCTGGGAAGTCCATCTTGTTATCTAACAACCATCTTTCCAGTAATAGGAACAGAAAGACGCAGTGTGATTCATGGCTCTCACACCAGAGGGAATAAATAACCCCCATTACTGAGCACTCCCCACCAGATGGGACCCAGGAATAGGATCAGGGGAAAGAAGGGACTGAGGTGTCTGCAGAGGCAAGACTGGGTTCAGAGAATACATCTTCTAGCCAGTCCCTGGTGCCTGTGGAGCTGGAGGCCTGGCTCAGAGGCTTTGGCTGACTCAGGACAGTGTTTATCTACTGGGTCTGTTTTCAATCTGCCCCTTAGCAGGGCATGGGGAGGGCACGTGGCTCTGAGAGACCCTGCAGAGAGAACAAACAGCCTGAAGACAGAAAGTGGAGTTGGCTCTTACTCTCCAGCTGGGGTCTGGGGGTGTGCCAGGCAACCACCTCAGGGCAGAATCCAGAACAGCTGGAAAAGGGAGTGGCAATAGACTTCCTAAAAGGAAAATTTTCTACCCTTTCATCTCTTTTTTCAGCAAGGGCAGAGCAAGGAAGATTCACATGATTGTAAGAAGTAATGTGGTTAGATGACAGGTAAAACAAGCAAAGACCAAAATCCCTGCTCCCTCACTGCACTCTTTTTAGGTCCAGACTTATTCTACAGACCCCTTATTTTTCCAAGCACACACACACACAAAGGCATGCATACACTCATGCACAAGTGTGCTCAGCCATAGTTAGGCTTGGGCTGTTCCCATTTGTTGAGGTCTATAACTATTTCTTCCCAAATGTCTCCCCAGTCACTAAATCCTGGCACTTTCCTCTTCACCAGACCCTCTAGCCCAGTTCCACCCCAGGAGGCAGCAATAGGTGGGCCAAGAAAGTTAGAAGCACAAAAGGTAATCTGGATGGATTCAGTGCCCCCCCCCCCTACCCGGCCCCATCCCCACACAACCACTGGGCTGCAGCTGGTCTTTGGCTGTAAAGGGAGGCAGGAACCCAGGCTTTTGGAAATTAAAGAATTGGGGTTTCACACAAAGACATTTGTTGAAATCCAAGAAAGTGATAATTATCCAGAGTGACTTTAGGACTCTGGAGCTGCTTGCAGTAGGAAAATATTTGTCTGACAAATGGGGGGAAGGGGGGTGAGAAGAAAATGGAAATTGCAGAAGAGGGAAGGAGCGGGCCCAAGGGATGCTTCAGCTTTGGACCACCTGGTGGGGAGACCTGGGCTAGAGGGTAAAGACCCCGTCCCTGGGATTAGGCTACTGCTGGAGGAATAGGAAGAAAGTTGGAATGTCTCCTAAGGGATCAGCCGAGGAAACACCTAGGTTCATGGCGTGGATGTAGAAGCTTTCCCAGCAGCAGTGTCTAAACTGCAGAGAGAGCCAGGTGCCCTGATCAGCGGGTCCAGGCTCTGAGACGGGCCATCCTGCTCCTAAGACCAACCTCGTGCTTCTGGTTTCTACTTGATTCACAGGCTCTGAGTCGCCGCTAGAGCCGGCTCTGGTGGGCGCTCCATTAGAAAAATCAGATTTTAGGGGTCCAGCTCCAGTGTTTCGGGACGAACGTCCCGTCCATTTCTCTGTCTGTAGATACAGGCTCCAATACCCCCACCCCCACCCCGATGATTTGGTCTCGAGTTTCTTTCTTTTCCCTACCTCCCCATCCCCAAGGATTCTAGCATCCCCTAGCCCCTCCTGGGCGCTCCAACCCCTCCTTACCCAGCTCTAAGAGCAATTCCTCGAACTGTTCGGATTTGAGGATTTTCCAGTTTCCAGAAAAGTTGGGCATAGTGGCGGTGTGGGTGGTGGTTCCCTTAGGTTCCTCGGCTAGAGCACTGGACACTGAGTCCTTTAGTCGAAAATTACTCTGCTGCTGCCTTTGCAGGATCTTGAGATTCAGGAACCAAGACACGTTGGAGGACAACCCCAAAATTGGCTTGGGCTCCCGCGCGGGCAGTTTTTATACCAGGAGCTGGCCCGCCCCGGCCCAGGAGCGGGGTGGCCCCGCCTCCCGCTCCGCCTCCGTACCCCACCTGGGGGTCTCCTCGGAGTCCCTCCAACCCAGTCTCTGGTTCTAGTCCTGTATGTGAGCCTAAGGGTCTCTGGGAGCCAAGACAGCCTTCTCTCATGCCAATGGGTGGCTGGGGAACCGGATAGGTCGCGCGCCCTCGAATTGCGCCTTTGGAGAGAGGAGGGGGCGGGCGCCAGGCCTGGGGCCCCGAGGCTGGATCTCACGTCTTGCAGGGTGAACCACGGGGATCACGTTTTGCCAACCCCCTACTAGTCCCCAGCCTGACTCGGTGCATCGGAGTCCTGGCTGGGGGGGGGGGGTGTGGGCAGGTTTGAACCCACTAGAGTGAACCCCAGATCTAGATAGCGCCGAAGCCGAGCCCCGACTCCACGGGCACCGGAACCGGATCCGACAGCTCCGAACTCATAGAGAAACCGCGGAACCCCGGCGTGGTGGGGTCCGAACACGGGGCAATGGCGCCCCCTCCTGGGATGATTCCGAGGCTGAGAGGGGAGGTGCACCCCACCCCTAGCCCCCCAACACCCGGCCCGGCTTAGGGTTCGGGTGGTGGTCTCCGTGGATCCTAGAAAAGAACCGTTGGCAACTCATTTCACTCACTAAAGGCACCGGGCGGACATGGAAGGGTTAAGCCGGAGCCCGGAGGGCGCGAGGCTGGGGAGGGCAGAGGTCACTGCCGATCGCTTGACCCGACTCTTTATTGAGGCGCTTTCCCCGGCCCGGCTCCGGGGGGCGGGGCGGGGCAGGACGTGGAGCTCCGCGCGCCACCACCGGGGTGGGGGAGGCTGAGCGCCCCGAGAGCGAGCAGAGCGGGGTCTCAGGTGTCGCCATCCTGAGCTGTAAAACCGGCGGGAGGAGCGGCTTTGAAGTGGAACATGAAAAGGGGGGGTAGGGCCCAGCCTCCCGCTGAGCCCCGAGTGGGGGATGAACCGGACCCAATGGAGATGGGGGGGTCCCGGGGCAGAGAAATAGGAATGGAGGTCGGCGGCGGCGGGCCGTGGAGACCCGATGCCGGAAACCGCAGAGGATGGAATGCGGTGCGGGAGCGGAGAGCCGTCCCCGCCTGTCAGCACCGAGGGGCTCGGCGGCGCACGTGGCCCAGCGGCTCGCCCCGCACCCCGCACTCCCTACCCACAGAGGCTGGGCACCCTCCGGGCGGGCCGGGCGCCCATCCTAGCCCTCATCCGAGGAGGGGGGCGGGGGCCCTCGGCGGAGCTGGGCCTAGAGGAGGGGAGGGACTGCAAGATGACCCTCGGACACTGCCGGGGTCAGGCCTCTGAGCTAAGGGAAATCTCTGAATCATGGGGTGGGTAGCAAAGGAAGGCAGCTGGGCTGGCTGCAGCCGGCGGGAGAGAGGTTATAGCGCAGAAAAGTGCTTGGAGATGGGGCCCCACCCAGCAGCAGGCAACCAACTAGCAAGTTGAAAAAGGGCGCTGGGCTTCAGGCTCCAGGATTTGGGAGAATGTGACCTGGAGGCCTGGGCTTCCGGAAGGGGCATGGAGAGCGGCAGCTTTGGGACCACCGTGTGGCAGGGGAAGGAAGGGGGCTGTGGGGAGAGCTCGCGGCCCGGGGCTGCAGGCGCGGCGAAGCTCCTCCTCCACTCCCCCGGCTCCGCGTCGCTGTAGGTAATGGGAGAGGGATTAGGCTCTGACAGTGAAATCCGGCTCCAGGCCAAAGGGATGAAGAGAGACTGGAGGAGGGAACAGGACGGAAACTCCCACTTCTCCAACCTGGGTCGTTATGTCCTCCACTCCAGCCCTCTGGAGCCCCTACCCCCGAAAAATCCAGTCTCCTGCTCAGACTTAGTGAAAAGGGCCGGAGCACATGCCTGCGCCTTTGGACCAAGTGGTTAAAACCTCACTCCAGGGCTGGTTATCAGGATGGAGGGCACCCAGCCCTGGGAGAAACGTGATTTGGTTCTCTGATGCTAGAGCAGGGGAAGCACAGGTCCCGCAGCTTAGCCAAGAGTACTAGGGAGGCTGGAGCCGAGAGGGGGTTCCCTGAGGTGGGGGCCACCCCCCCTTACTTCCCCACTCCCCACATCAGCCAACCGGGCAAGATTTCCAAAGAGACAGAAGTAAGACAAAGGGAAGTGGGGCTGGAAGAGGAATTCTTTCCAGATGTGTTTGCGGTTTGGCAGCTCTGGGCCTGAGCTCAGGCCCCCAGCACCCCAACCCTGGCTGAGGAAGGAGGGTGAGGGTCGGAGCAGCTGACTAACGGGGAGGGGGCGGGTGGAGGGGCTCTGGAGAGATGCTCTGGAAGTTCCCAGGACACTGAAGGGTGGGAGATGAGAGGGGGCTAACCGGAAGATTGGGGGGGGGGGGTCCTAGGGGCAAGGGGCAGGACTAGAGGCCCAGGCGATGGGGAGGAGTTTCGCCAACATTAGCCACTCAGTCACAAACAACTGGCTTTAATTTCCCGCTGGGATCAATAAGGAGAAAGAATTTCCCAGTGTCGCTGGCCTTTTAATTATGACCAAATCTGCTGCAGATCTGCCCGGGGCGACCCCTTCCCCCTTCCTAGGGGGTCTTGATTATAACCCTCTTGGGGCTCCCCCAGGAATTTGGAGACTCAAGTGGGGGAAGGGTGCCAAGTTGACGAGAAAAGCTAGGGGAGCTGAGGCAAGATGGGGGTTGGGTGGACTAAGATTATACAGACAACTCTGGGATAGTTAGGAAGACTCTGGAGCTTTGTTCCCTTGTAGTGTAAAGGAGGAAAGTGGCTGGTTTTGCAACAGCAGGAATGAAGATGGGTAGGGCCCAGCTGTGTGCACAATTGAGGGGTGCAGGGATTGGAAGGGTAGACACCCCTACCATTCTCTGTCACTTCCTGGAGGTTGAATGTGGTGGGAGGGGTGAGCTCACAGTCCAGCACAGGGGACTCATGAAGGTCCCACCCTCGCCCCCAACCAGGATCAGGGGGATTCTCTAGCCAATGTCAGCACTCATGGAGAACCTCACCCCATGCAGTATTATTGCCTCTACTGGGTCAGAGAGTTTGTTGGCTGGAACTCAGAAATGAAAGCCAGGCGGGGCTGGACACCTGGGGTTCTGCTGCTCAGCAGAGAGGGCCAGGAAAGAAGTTAGGACTTGTACAGAAGGTGGGGTGGTCTGAGAGCAGAAGAGGAACTGGGAGATGCTGGGCCAGGCTGTTGCATTTCCTAACACCCCACCCCACCCCCACTCCTCGGGGTTCGGAGCACACATCTTGCCTCACAGACTGCTCCACCCTCGGTGCAGAGGGGAGCTCTGTATCCTTGCCCTGTGCCAAGCTGGGATACAGCTTTCTGGAATGTGTGAAGGCCAGGCTCTGATGCCCCCCCCCCCCACTCCCCACCCCCTGGCAAAAGAAACTACCATTGCAGCAGAATAGATGGAAATTAAAAGATACAAAAAGCTTATAGCAACGTAAGTGCAAGCTGGGAGACCGGATCCAAAACAGAAAGGAAGCAATCTATTTCCCAGAAGCACCTGAGTGCAAAGGAGAGACTCAGAACTGGAGAAGGTGGAAGAAGTCTTAGTGGACCGACCAGAGGAGAGAAGCTCCACCCAAAGCTATGGATGACGGTGACCCCCCAGGGCTGGCCTAGGGTGTGGCAGAGGGAACAGGTGTGGCCCAGCAGGGTCTGGACCGCAGCCTGGGAAGCTGACTGGCTGCGAATGGAGGGGTTGCAGTCAGACTAGATAGGGTCTGTTCAGCACCCAGGCAGTGCCTCTGTTGTTCTTGGCTCTGCTATTCTGTTCCCAGCTCCAGCTACCAACGCTGTCCTTAGGGCTAGGCTGGGCTGGCTCAACCAGGGAGGGGGGAGGGAAGAGGGAGGAAGGAGGTGGAGATGCACTGGCTGAGGACGTGTCTGGACTGAGGCTCAGTCCCCGGGATGGAGATGACTATGACCTGGAGCTAAACTCTGGCTTTGTTTCCAGAGCCGGACCCCTCTGCCACTTCCCTTGCACTTTCCCAAACCTTGGGGAAGGGCACTGCTGTAGCCTTGGCAAGTCTGGCTGGGGCTGGTGGTATCTGGGGAAAGTGGCCAGCTCTGGAAGACACCCTGCAGCTCAGTCTCCAGCCCTGCTGCTTTCCTGAGGGCACTGGGGCCACATTCCTGAGGCTACCACCTCTACTGCTCTCTAAGAGGGGGAGTGGAGAGTGGGGATCAGGGACCCTACCCCTCCAAGCCAAAAATAAGTTCTGCAACTTCTGGAGGAAGAGATGAGGAAGAGGGATGAAGGTTGGTGGGCATTGAGCCAGATAACCAAACTCTGGGATAAAAGAGGAAAGAAGTCAGAAGTCCCAGAGAAGAAGGGACTAAGGGGGCTTGAGGTTCTGGGTGGGAACCAAAGGGGCTACTGGACTCACTGTCCTTGGAGCTGGCTAGGAGGGGCTGATGCGTCAGCCTCTGGAAGGTAAAACAGGGCTTCTTGGGGGCCCCATTCCCTTTTGTCATAAACCCCCAAATGCAGTTGTTTTCTGTAGACAATGGACCAAGTTTCCTGGGCCCATGGAAACCAGCTGCCCTGGTGGCTCCAAGGATGCTGGAGTTCCCAGTTTCCCAAACCCAAGGCCCTTCCTTCTGCCCTGCCAGATCCAGTGGCCCCATGTCCTTTCCTTGGGATCAATGGCTGGACCCTACACAGACTGTCAAGATGCAGAGGGGATTTGAGCAGAATTAAGGAGCCGACTCAAATTTCTGGTCCCACTCTTGCTATCTTGAACTGGCAAGGATAAAAAGGGATACAAGAGTTCAGAGTCTGATCTGAACAAGGCTAGGGTCTTGTCCTTCTCATGACCCCCACTCCTAACCCCTCCTTCTAAAGAGCTAGAGAAATGGGCAGGCAGGCTGGAGGTTGGGAGAGGCCCCAGACTGACCTAGACCTAATAGCTTTCTCCAG